CGGGCACGGGCGTGCATGGGGGCAGCGCCGGAGAACACATCGCATTCAAAATTTTCAGCTTGTGCATCGGAAACGTATGAGTTTGTGGAAAGCTTGTTTGAAGTCTTCGTTAGACATAGTATAGATGATGGGGTTGATGAGGGAGTTGAGATATCCAAGCCACGTGAAAAAGTCAAAGATGGCCATGTGGAACCAGCAAGCGTCCTTGCAAATAGGCAACACCAGGCTGATGATGAAAAAGGGCAGCCAACAGACGATGAAGGCTCCTAAAATAATCCCTAAAGTCTTTGTAGCCTTCCGCTCTCTAGCGGCCGTGAGCTTCTTTTTCTCCAGCAGGGCATCCGAGACCTTCACCTTCACCTGGTTCATGTACACCGGAGAGCCCGTTTCGCTGGAGCCCTCGGCGGCCTTGGAGTTTATGGACGTGACGGAGGAGGACGACCCCGGGGAGTCTGTGATTAACTGAGCCCGCGTTAGTCTTTTACCTGCTTTCTTTGGCGTCTGCTTCAAAATCCGCGATCTGGCTTCCACGTAGATCCTCCCGTAGAGGGCTATCAGCAGCAGAGTGGGGAAGTAGAAGGCTCCCACCGTGGAGTACACGGTGTAGAGGACGTGGTCCGTGTTCACCACACAGTGAGAGACTTCCTCGGCCTTCGCCTGCCGCCAAAACAAAGGGGGCATGGAGATGCAGATGGAGAAGACCCACACCAGAGCGATCATGCCCGCTGCCCGCTTGGGAGTCCGTTTCGTGGAGTACTCGACGGCGTCGGTGATCGCCCAGTAGCGGTCCAGGGCGATGACACAGAGGTGCAGGATGGACGCCGTGCAACAGGTGATGTCCGAGGACAGCCAGATATCGCAGACGATCTGGCCCAGCGTCCACTTGCCGGTCACAGTGTACATGGTGCTGATGGGCATGACGAGGATAGAGACGAGGAGGTCGGTGACGGCCAGCGAGGCGATGAGATAGTTGGCCGGCGTGTGGAGTTTCCTCGTCTGGTAGACCGTGGCGATGACAAAGGCGTTGGAGAGCACCGTGGCCAGGGTGACGAGCGCCAGGACGACGGCGAGCACGATCTTCCCGGAGAGGGGGGTGGCATCTTGGTAGATCCCTTCCTCGGCGCTGCAGTTTCGGCCGTGGTAAGAGTCGTTGGCGGGGAGCAGCGGCGCCTGGCAGG